TGAATGTAAAGTGCCTCATTGTCTTTGTTGATCTTTCTGACCTAGCCATGTATAATCTCATTGGTTGACTGATACTGCTTTATGCAAATTAGATTGCCAACCTGGGACACTGGGCCAATCAATTTGTGTAAAATTATTACATGATACATTCTCGTGAACTTTGACAAAGTTCTATGTGTTGACATCTTTATGACTGAGATATGTTCTATTGAACTGATATTATCAACCTCAAACATCTCATAGCTGAGATATATTCTAAATGACCAATATCCTCAAAAATGTTCATAGCTGAGATATATTCTATAAGATTGATAAACTGAAACCTCTTTTTAACTGAAATATATTCTGAAGGACCGATATTCTCAAAATTCTTCATACCTGAGATATATTCTATAGGACTAATAACTTCAAACATCTTCATAAGACCCAAACAGTTTGTTTCTGTATTAAATGTACAGATTAACAAGTTTTAATGCCCAGAAATGGTTTGTTCTAAAATTATGTCAGCATAAAGTGGAGGTCAAATACACAAACTGTCAATGTGATGTCAATGTGTTCAAAATATCTATCAATAACATGTATTTTTCCAAATATACAAAGCCCTCATTCAAATACAATTAACACAAAACCAACAGGAAGTTCAATCGAACAGCATTTTGTCTGCTAAATCTTAGAAATGAAATTTTAGACATCAATGAACCAGATTAAATATATTGTCAGTTTCTTTAGAATTTAAGAAGATCAATACAGGAATAAGAAAGATGTTACCTGGTCTAGTTTAATCATATTACTATCTTGTGTTTTGAAGAGGAAATAGTAGCTTGATGCATGAAGTCAGTCACTTTCATATCCCCAGGAGACCGCCTCCGTGGTCTAGTGGCAGCAGGCCTGGGGTTCGATCCCCTGGTGCGTCATACCAAAAGACGTTAAAAGATGGTACTTGTTGTTTCCCTGTCTGGCGCCCGGCATTATGGTCCAAGCTTTGCAATGTCCCACTAGAATACCAGGTTTGATTCCTCACATGGGTAAAGTGTTTGAAACCCGTTCTTGGTGTCCTCTGCCTTGATATAGGACTTGGAATTTGATTAAACCTTTCTCAATAAGGACAAGGGGTGGTTGGGTGGCCGGTTGGTTAAAGTGTTGGACAAGTCTAATGAACATGGCGACTTTGCAGATTTTCATACTTTGTGAGGCATACTTAATCACAAATACTTGACAGAAATAGTGTAAAACAGACAATACAGAATGATAGGCTATTAGAATTGTCACCAAAACAAAACAATCCTCCACTTAAAAACGAGGTCCCATTTTATGTCGCCTTGAGTAATTTCAATGATTGGGCCAGCGCCAATCTGCCCGCTTCTGCCTTAATTTTTTTAATCAAATCATGGGGATTTCCTTTCTGCACATCTGTTTGATTACTGTGTCCACAACGTACGCCAAGAACTAGCAACAACTGGATGATGCCTTCAGTTGCCTACTCAGGGGATTGAGCCACTCATGGAATGGGATAGGACTGGCAATCTGATTATTTGTAATGTAATCTCTAATCTCTGAGAGGCAGCGCATTGTTTATGTTACATGAACAGGGTTAGGCATAAAAAGCTAGTTACAGACATTAATTGTTATTTTGATTATTCACAATCTCAAGATCAACAGTTATTTTATATGCTTAACAATATATGCAATGTTGTTTTTGTAGAAATGAAAGAAACAGCCACACGTTTAGATTTGTTTTGACTTTTTCTCTCTTGGAAATTGACTTCATGTGTCAAGGAAAATTGATATTTCCAACAAAATCACAATCAGTTCTTTCAGTAGACTTTGGATTTGGGGATTTATGATAGCAAGTTATGTGTAAGATGTAGAGGTAGTACAACAAAAGTAATGACAAAGATTTCATGCATTAAGATGACGCAGTGCAAGTAAGACCAGGACCAAGTCTATGTTACGAAGGCTATGCAGAAGGAAGAAATTGTTACATAAGGCTGAGTGTGTCATTGTATGCAGATAAACATTAAAAGATAATTTGCAAATCCGATCCCTCTCCTTTACACATTATTGCATTTTCCATGGTTGCTATGGAAACATGGTCCGGCATGTAGACCATGTATGTTTATGTGTCAGAGTTGAAACAGTCAGAAGTATGTTTCTGAAGCAAAAAGCATTTGAAATAGTTCTGTTTGGTGAGGACTGGTATTTGTAAGAATGTTATCCATCTCATCGGACTTGAAGTTGTTGACAGCATATTTCATGTGCTTGATGGTCAGTTAACAAGAGGTGTGTCTCGTCCTTATTATCTTCTGGAGTTTGCTCATACCTTGTTTCAGTTGTTGGAGTGGTATTGGATTCTTCTGCCCTGCCAGCTTTATGGCTCCCAGAACATTCAATAATGAGCAATTAGTTCTTACATTAATAAGTTGATGATTCAGCACATTACGCTGCAGCTAGTGCAAGGCCATTGATGTATCCAGGGACAGCTAATAGACATCAATGCTAGGTATGGCAGCCCATTATTGGTGGCATTTTCAGGGACTAGTGTCCTTGCAGTGAAATTATCTCCTAAAGACCTGGATTGTGTTCCACAAAGCGATCTTGGCACTATGGCTGTTGTAAGCCAATGTTAAAGTATACAAGCATTGAAGACTTAAGGAAACACTGGGTCCCCTAAAATGGGTATTGGGTGAATCGGCTCTGTGACTTGGCGTGTCATTCTGATGGCTACCATTGTTGCTTATGTTTTCAGTACTGGTTTTTGACTCTGTTGTTACTGGCTGCTGTGATGTTGGAACATTGCTGCAGTGTTGAACAATATCACTCACCTCCTGCATGACAATAATGTTGATGCCTTATAGTATCGGTTGTTAAATAAATGTAGTTATTTTGGGCTGGTCATCAATGCGGCTGATGATTTCATGAGAAACAGCTGGGGAAGACTTGCCAGAGAAAGAAGATAACTAATTTATTAGATGCCAGTGATTTGATAACTAGTTGACAAGATGCGAAAGAAAGGTGATAACTAGTTGACTAGTTGCCAGAGGAAGGTGATAACTAGCTGATTAGTTGCCAGAGATAGGTGATAACTAGCTGACTAGTTGCCAGAGATAGGCGATAACTAGCTGACTAATTGCCAGAGATAGGCCATAACTAGTTGCGAGACAAAGGCAATAACTAGTTGACTAGTTGTGAGACAAAGGCGATAACCAGTTGACTATTTGCCAGAGGAAGGTGATAACTAGTTGACTATTTGCCAGATATAGGCAATAACTAGCTGATTAGTTGCCAGAGATAGGCGATAACTAGTTGCGAGACAAAGGCAATAACTAGCTGATTAGTTGCCAGAGATAGGCAATAACTAGCTGAATAGTTGCCAGAGATAGGCAATAACTAGCTGAATAGTTGCCAGAGATAGGCAATAACTAACTGATTAGTTGCCAGAGATAGGCAATAACTAGCTGATTAGTTGCCAGAGATAGGCAATAACTAGCTGATTAGTTGCCAGAGATAGGCGATAACTAGTTGACTAGTTGTGAGACAAAGGCGAAAACCAGTTGACTATTTGCCAGAGAAAGGGATAACCAGTTGACTAGATACCAGAGATGTGATAACTAGTTGACTAGAATAGAAATAGGCAATGATTGTTGACTAGTTTTCAAAGGTTGCCAGAGGAAATGAATCGATAACAGTCAAAATGTGCTCTGTCCCAAATGACAGTAAGTGGTGTCTAATCTACAATTATACTTCCTCAACTGTAGGTTTATCTCCTAATATGTACTTGTTCCATTTAACAGGAAACTATGATTTGACACCAGTTTCTCAAACATTGGCTCTTCTCAGTTACTCCCTGATGTCCTGATTGTTTCATTGTCAGTTCAGACCACCTTTGGGGGTCTAGTGGTACAGTTCAGACCGCCTTTTGGGGTCTAGTGGTAATCGTCCGCCAAGAGAGCAGAAGGTCAGGGGTTCGATCCCCAGCCGCATCATACCAAAAAGCGTTAAAAGATGATACTTGTTGTTACCCTGCCTGGTGCTCAGCATTATGGGGCTAAAACAAGAACTGGCAGCTGAGACATGGTATCTCAGTGGGCTTGCACCATAAAAATGGTCCAGACTAGAACAAGCAGGAACAAACATGTGCATACACGTTGCAATATGAGTGCAATAATCTTGGACGTGATGTTAAAAACCCCATTTCACCGCACCTCATTGTCAGTTCAGCAGCATGAGTAGTCTGGTGACCTAAGGCACTGCAGTTCACTGTGCAGATTTGCATGCCAGAATTCTAGGGTCATTAGTCCAAACCCCAGTTCCATCTAGATTATCATTGTTAATCTTAAAGGTGAGGTGAGGTGAGGTGAAATGGGGTTTAACGTCGCGTCCAAGATTATTGCACTTATATAGCGACGTGCATGCACGTGTATGTGTGTGTGGCTGCTTGTACTAGTCCGGACTGATGCCGATTTATAGTGCTAGCACACTGAGATACCATGCCGCAGTTTAACATGAATACCCCACTCAGACAAAGTATACTGACTCCGAGCCGACCAGTCCTTGTTTTAGCCCCTTAATGCCAAGTGCCAGACAGGGTAACAACAAGTACCATCTTTTAACGTCTTTTGGTATGACGCCGCTGAGGATCAAACCCCGGGCCTTCCGCTCTGCGGTCGGACGCTCTACCGTTAGGCCGCGGAGGCGGTCGTTAATCTTAAAGTGGTAAACGTCTAAGACCTACATCACTTTGAGCTTTCCTCCCTCATCAACAAGGATCAAGCTCACATGCCATGAATTAACTAAAATATTGTTCAGAGCAGTCCCTCCCTCCCTCACCCGCCTGCTCACTTGCCCAATCACCCACCCATCCACTTAGAGTTATACATGTAACAGGGATACAGGGATAAAAATTACAAAAATTATTAACAATTTTTTGTTGATGTTTGCTTCAGTATGGGAAGTTATTGAATACAAACATGGATCCTAAGAATCTTTCCAATATGTTTCAGCATCGAAAATCCGACTGAGCGTCGAGTGAAGAAGTGGGCATACAGTTTTCACGAGTTGCTGTCCGACTATGTGGGGAGGGAAGAGTTTGAGAAATTCCTCAAGAAGGAGTACAGCCATGAGAACATCCGCTTCTGGAATGCCTGCGAAGACCTCAAGTTCTGTCCTCACTCCAAGGTCGCCGTCATGATAGACAGGATCTATGAGTAAGTGTTGCAGCTAGTTGAAGCTGATATATACATAAGCTTAGAGACATATGCCGGTCTGTATTCACAGTATTTAACTCTGATACCCTGTCACAAAATTCCTGGAATATTGCTATAAACAATGTAAAACTCACTCACCCATCTTATTTCCCATTTAAGCCTTGAGTGAGTGAGTTTGATTTTATGCCGCTTTTCGCAATATTCGATCAATATCACGGTGGGGGACAGCAGAAATAGGCTAATTTAAGCCTTGTTTACATGCACCTATTTACCCCCTGGGGTAATCTTACTGGCACCACCCTACCCTAGGGGGCAAATATAATTGCAGGTGTAAATTTTGTCATTTAAGTGCATTTACCCCTTGGTGTCAATTTTCCCCATGCCATGAGGTAGAACAAATTCTGTTAACCCTAAGGTTAAAGATACCTCAAAGGTAAATGTGTCATGTAGGCGCGCTTCTGCAGTGTTTCGCCTGGGGCACCGGAACAGTATCATGTCCTTTTGTAATTAACAATTACATTTTTACAGTAAGTTGTAGAACATGTGCATGGTCTGGGTAATATTAATGTCATTAGTTGCAGCTTCCACTGGTGTACGGAAACCTGAGTGCTTCAACAAACACTCAATCTATGTAATTCACACGCTTGATCAACAAGGACACTACCTTCCTTCAACTGCGTCAACTTGTGTTCATCTTGTTAGAGGGGCGGTCGGGTAGCCAAGTGGTTAAAGCGTTCGCTCGTCACGCCGAAGACCCGGGTTCGATTCCCGACATGGGTACAACGTGTGAAGCCCATTTCTGGTGTCCCCCGCCGTGATATTGCTGGAATATCTTGTTAGATGTCCTCATCTATTTTATTGTATTTATGTATCTCCAGGGGGCACGGGTGACCCAGTGGTCCAAGGTGCAGCAATTTTTTGTGTGCATCCCTTGGGCACGCCAGAAACCTATGACTGTGGGTTCGAATCCCGATTGTCTCCAGGTTTTTCAGCACCATACCCATGCTCGTGGGTTTCACCAAAGTGGTAAATGTCTGAGACCTGCATCACTTCGGGCTTTCCTCCCACATTAAGCTGACACGCCGTGATATAACTGGAATACTGTTTAAAGCGGCGTTAAACCAAACTCACTCACTTTGATTGCAATAAGCAAGACTATGGTCATATCAAATAATCCCACCTGTTACCTTGGAAATCTTCTTAGTTAAAAATCATTCAACCTACAAGTTTTCAGGGCCAGTAACAAGTAATGGGGACAAGTTATTTATCAGTAGTCAGTGGTCCTTGAGTACAGTGGCCAAAATATCCAGCTTTCTCATGCTGCCTTCTTGAATTTCTTGAATCATGTACGAAACCTGTAAATACATTTTAGAATTCAATTTAGTATTCAATTAAACTAAAGATGTTTCTTCTTTCAGTGAATTCTTGAATCCTGGGTCAGCCCATGAGATCAATATAGATGGGAAGACCATGGAAATAGTCCAGCAGAACCTGAAGAAGGAGAAACCAGACAGGTAAGACACACTTGTATGTATTGGGGGATGATTCATAAATGAATCTTTCCAGGCCTAGTAGGCCATTAATAATATCCTAAACACCACCAGTGCTATGTTTGTTTCTATATAACGCTGCACACAGCAATATTCCACCCATGTGACGATGGTCTGGAAATATATGAGTCCGGACCAAACATTCCAATTATCATCAGCATCGACCTGTGCAATTGAGACACTAGGACAAGTTATCCTGACCTCCTGATTAGTGGCCTCTTACGACAATGGGTTGCTGAAGACCAATTCTAACCTGGATCTTCAAAGTGGTCTGCCAGTGTTAATGATCAGTTCTGCTAGCGGCCATTAGATTCATGGACAATCGGCATGGTCCTGGTGCTCAGGCACTGACTGCTGGAAGAACAAGCACCGTGCAGGATGGTTTACTTTGTTTGCACACAGATTTTATCCTTTATTTGCAAACAGATTTTATCCTTTGTTTACAAACAGATTTTATCCTTTGTTTACAAAGAGGTTTTATCCTTTGTTTACAAACAGATTTTATCCTTTGTTTACAAACAAATTTTATCCTTTGTTTACAAACAGATTTTATCCTTTATTTATAAACAGATTTTATCCTTTGGTTGCAAATTTCAACACTGATAACAACCAGGAAAGGTTCATTTCAAATCTTTATAACCTTGTGGTAATTCTGGTCCCTCTCTCCCAATGACTTTTGTGTCGTATCGTGTCGTGTCGTGTCGTGTCGTGTCGTGTCATACGAATCAGGGTGTCATAATGAACCTAGTGACTTTAATTGTGACCCATGAAGATCCAACTTAGAATAGGTCTTCAGCAACCCATCCTTGTCGTAAGAGGCTACTAACGGGATCACTTGTTGATGTCATCGTATCAAATTGCTTGGATCAATGCTCATGATGTCAATCACTGGTTTGTCTGGTCCAGACTCAATTATTTACAGACTGCTGTCATGTAGCTGGAATATTTCTGAGCGCGGCGTTAAACAACAAACAAAACAAAACTTTAATGGTTATAGGGCATGTATCATTACACAATAGAGATTTATATAATACATTGGATAATAAAGCATGTTTTTATCGTCATATTTCTTAACATTCCAGGTTTACTTTTGAGGCTGCTCAGGAACATATCTTTCTGTTGATGAAGAAAGACAGCTATGCTCGCTTTCTCCGATCGGAACAATACAAGAGTCTATTGGCTAATGCACTGCAACCAGGGAACAAGAAAAAGTGAGTAATCTCCCCTTTGATTTGCTTCACCTGCCATCTTGGATTGTAACACCTGCCATCTTGGATTGTACATTATATATTGAAATCTCAGTGACAGCTGGGTTTTTTTCATACAATTAATACAGTTCAGTATTATGATGTTGAACAAGACAGATGTGTTATCTGCCTTCAGACTTCTTGTCATTGTTGACATTCAGATGATGGTTATGTGGGCACAACTGAAATCATGCTCCTGTCATTAATGAAATGTTTAATGTGAAAACAAATGCCTGTTATCTGAGTCCTGAAAAGATTTAGGTGAAACAAAGCTTTTACTGGATATTTTTGCTTTTCAAGTTTTGGTTACTTTTCTTTGTATGTCTTTTCATCTCTGGGCAAATCATTAGACAGAGAGATCATTGAGTGACAAAGCTGACATGATATACGGTGATGTATGATAGGAGAAGAGCTGGGCATTAAGTGGCTTTGTTTTCTAGTAGCCATGCTGGCTGGGATATGACCACACTGAAAGTTTCCAGGATAAAAATCTATATTTTGTGGTAATATTAGCCAGAGTGATGGGTGCACCTGTCCTAATGCAGCTTGTCCCTTGTTAGGACACCTGCTCAGCTTAAGTGATCCGCACATGATCAATAGTCTACCTGTATCATTAGTCCGGTCACTGTACAGTTGGTTTCACACACATGTTACATGTGAGAAAAAGTCTTAGGAAATGATGAATGGAACCATTCGATTTATGGAAGGGTGGAGGATTATGGGTGGGAGGAAGGATATGGTAGGGTGGAGTGGTATGGGTGGAGGGGTATGGGTGGGAGGATTTTAGTGGATAAGCTAGTGCATGAACATTAATAGGACATTACAGTGTCGCCAATCAATTCATATTCTTGGACTTAAATATGGATGGATATGGAAGGGTGGAGTGGTATGGTTGGAGGGAGGGATTTGTTAGGGTGGGAGGGATGTGGGTGGGAGGGTTGTGGGTGGGTGGGGTTTGTTAGGGTGGAGGGATGTGGATGGGAGGGTTGTGGGTGGGAGGGGTTTGTTAGGGTGGAGGGGTGTGGGTGGAAGGGATATGTTAGGGTGGGGGGTTGTGGGTGGGAGGGATATGTTAGGGTGGGAGGGATGTGGATGGGAGGGATGTGGGTGGGAGGGGTTTGTTAGGGTGGGGGGTTGTGGGTGGGAGGGGTTTGTTAAGGTGGAAGGGTGTCGGTGGGAGGGATATGTTAGGGTGGAGATATGTGGGTGGGAGGGTTGTGGGTAGGTGGGGTTTGTTAGGGTGGAGGGATTTGGGTGGGAGGGTTGTGGGTGGGTGGTGTTTGTTAAGGTGGAGGGATGTGGATGGGAGGGTTGTGGGTGGGAGTGGTTTGTTAGGGTGGAGGGATGTGGATGGGAGGATTGTGGGTAGGAGGGGTTTGTTAAGGTTGAGGGGTGTGGGTGGGAGGGATATGTTAGGGTGGGGGGATGGATATGTTTGGGTGGAGTTGATTTTTGTCCAACAAACTATTACATTAATAGGACAATACAGCGTCTCCAATCAATTCATATTCTTGGACTTTAATATTGACTGTTTTAAGAAATGTCCTAAAGATGTTTTCAAACTGAGTTCCAGTGTTGAAAGACAGCCTGTAATGTGCTTCTTGCAGTGACAAAGTAACATTGTTTAGACATAGTTTAAGCAATGTTATACCTTTGTCATTGCGAGAACCACATTACAGACCTACACTCAGTATTTTCCTTGTTATATCTGAATACATATTACAGTGTTGACTTAATCTGTTCAAGCAGGCTATTAAGCAGTAGCATGTGAGTAATCCAAGTTTCTCATCCCTGTGGTGGTGGCTGTAGTGGTGATTTTCATTGTTTTTCATCACATGACTCACTTCTAGACACTAGGATTGAAACACGGTTGGCTCTCTCCCTGGTTTTTGTGGAAATGTTTGTTTTTACAGACTAGAAACACTGACCTACCTTGATTGATTATTCAAGGAATTTTTGACTTGGTATGAAAGTAGATTTTTCACAGTACTTCACAGCTTAGGAGAATATTTTACTGCATGATGTGGTTTTATCATGGTATTGGATTATAGGTGTCTCTTAATGTCATGCTTCCCTCATGAGTTTTCACCATTCACATTCATATGCACCATGTACATTCACCATTCACTTTTCATGTTCACATTTACATTCATATTCACCTTCATATTCAACATTCATTTTCACATTCAAATTCAACATTTCACATTCAAGATTCATATTCAACATTTGCATTTCACGTTCAACATTCATACTCAACATTCAACATTCATATTCATATTCAACATTCAACAATTATATTCATATTCAACATTCACATTCGGGGCGGTCGGGTAGCCTAGTGGTTAAAGCGTTCGCTCGTCACGCCGAAGACCCGGGTTCGATTCCCGACATGGGTACAATGTGTGAAGCCCATTTCTGGTGTCCCCCGCCGTGATATTGCTGGAATATTGCTAAAAGCGGCGTAAAAGCATACTCAGTCAGTCAGGCAACATTCACATTCACACACTCAGGTGTGCATTCACATTGCTGTATAAGTGCAATAATCTTGAAGGCACAATTGAACAACAATTCACCATTCACTATTCATTAACATGATTTTAGATCTCATTGTGAGACCCACTCTCACATACTGCATTTTCTTGAGTATAGTGCCCTCTTTTTAACTGAATCACTGGTAGATTGGGAGAAAATGTGTGTACAGCTGATTGCTATTTCTGGCTTAGCTTATGAGACAAATACACAAGGTAATTATATTCTCTGCACATAAAACAGTGATTATCTGAACAGGAAATGCAATTTAAATGGTAATTCATAATGCCCCCATTTCACTACGACAACGAATATGCCGAATCACCCCGAATGGGAAATTTTTCATGTTTGTAGATAAATCTCAATCATTTCTTGAAGTTCTTAAACGAATCTTATTTGATTCCCAAACATTCGTACAGTTCGCGGGAGTTCATCGAATCGGCGAGAAAGTTTTTATTTGTCAAAAACTTTCGTGGAATGGTCCCCGAATTGCAATTTGGTGGCTGTATTGTTATCCATTCGTAATTAATTCTTATGTTCCGTAACAGCTTCGTAATCAATTCTTTTGCATTCTTGGCTATTCTTAGCAATTCGTTGCTTCCAAAATTTCTTGTCCTCAACCGAAAAACATCCCGAAACAGTCACGAATGTCCAGAGTCAACTACGAACCATGTAAGAATTAAGTAAGAACAACATTCAGGATATTTGTAACTTAGTCGTAGGTGATTCTTACATTTGTGCATGATCGGTATATGAATCTTGTAATTCGTACATGTATGTTAACCCATTCCTGGCATTCCTCATATATTTTTCAACCCGATTAGCCACAAAAGTTTACATTTTTGGCCAAATCATCACAAATTTCAAAAGTTTCCGATTCGGGGTGATTAAGCTTGGGTTGGCACTATACTCAAGAAACTATGGTACTCACTTTAATGTAAGAGTCCACAAAATCTGAGAGATGTCCTGCAACACATCAAAGCATCGCTGTCTACTCTCGTCAGATTGTTGTCCTCACAACAAACTATTTTTTTATTTTTGCACGCTATTGCTTTTTCCCAAATGATATTCTTGAATGTAGTACACGAACCGTGTATTGTCTCCCATCAGTTCCTTTTCTTGGACATTGATTACTATTGTGTGAACTGTACTGAAGATTTTTGCAGACTTGGTACCAACATTGAAGAATTTCCTATCCTTCATTTATTACATCGTTACAATGCCCTCAAATGGCTAATCTCATTTATCTCTATGAAAATCACTGTGATATCATTTGTATGCCCTAAAATTTATGAAAAAATCAAATCAGTGTTATTGTGTAAAATCATGGATACTAAAGTTATATCCGTGATAGAAACTAACAGTTTTAGCCCACTAGTCCTTACAATGATAACATGTAACAAAACTCTTAAAAAGGGCAAATTTCTATTAGTCCTTATCATACCTTAACTTTTGGGCAGATTGTCAAGGACTATAGGACAAGTGCCAATGTCTAAGCTGTATATTAATCATATGTTATGTCATTGCATTTCTCATTCATTGATAGGAATAGTAAGTTAACAGTAAAGTCTCCCTGGCAACAGTTGGTGAGAGGGAGCATACAGCTGGAGTGAGTGAGTGAGTGAGTTTGATTTTACGCCGCTTTTAGCAATATTCCAGCAATATCACGGCGGGGGACACCAGAAATGGGCTTCACACATTGTTCCCATGTCGGGAATCGAACCCGGGTCTTTGGCGTGACGAGTGAACGCTTTAACGACAAGGCTACCCGACCACCCCGCATACAGCTGGATCTCTCCATCCTAGACTGGCAACAGTTGGTGAGAGGGAGCATACAGCTGGACCTCCCATACTCCATCATAGACTGGTTTGTTCCTCCATCAGCCCATCGTCACCACTTCATGGGTTTGTTCCTCCATCAGCCCATCATCACTACTTCATGGGTTTGTTCCTCCATCAGCCCATCGTCACCACTTCATGGGTTTGTTCCTCCATCAGCCCATCGTCACCACTTCATGGGTTTGTTCCTCCATCAGCCCGTCGTCACCACTTCATGGGTTTGTTCCTCCATCAGCCCATCGTCACTACTTCATGGGTTTGTTCCTCCATCAGCCCATCGTCACTACTTCATGGGTTTGTTCCTCCATCAGCCCATCGTCAGTACTTCATGAGTTTGTTCCTCCATCAGCCCATCGTCACCACTTCATGGGTTTGTTCCTCCATCAGCCCATCGTCACCACTTCATGGGTTTGTTCCTCCATCAATCCATCGTCACCACTTCATGGGTTTGTTCCTCCATCAGCCCATCGTCACTACGAAAACCAGCATCGTGGCATGGTACTCTTAACATTGTTCTTCTGGATATGTTTGGAAGACTGACAGTGGTGAAACTATTCACGTCCATCCTGACAAGACCCAGCCTCTGTTGCCCGGTGGATGGAGCAGCAGCCCGGGGAGCAAAAGGTTGCGGTTCGATCCCCTGCCCACATCATACCAAAAGTCGTTAAAGATTATTTTCATAGGCCTAGTTCTCAGGATATAGGGGATAAGACAAGGACTGGTTGGCTCTGTTTTGGCATTTAATGTGTCTGAGTGAGTAAGTGAGTAAGTGAGTGAGTGAGTATTCATGTTAAACTGCGGGATGGTATCTCAGCGTGCTTGCACAATAAAACCAGCATTAGTCTGGATTAGTACAAGCAGCCACCGACCCGTGAAGATTCCGGGTTAAAATAGGTCTTCAGCAACCCATGCATGCCGTAAAAGGTGACTATGCTTGTCGTAAAAGGCGACTAACAGGATCGGGTGGTCAGGCTCGCTGACTTGGTTGATTCATGTCATCGATCCCAATTACGTGGATCGATGCTCATGATATTAATCACTGGATTGTCAGGTCCAGACTCGATTATTTACAGACGGCCATCATATAGCTGGAAAATTGCTGAGTGCGGCGTTAAACAACAAACCAATCAAGCAGCCACCCCCACTCACACTCTCACACTCACATACACACACATCACCTCCGTGGTCTAGTGGTAGAGCATCTGCCCGGAGAGAGGAAGGTCTGGGGTTGGATCCCCTGCCACCTCATACCAAAAGACGTTAAATGATGGTACTTGTTACGCTATCTGGTGCTCGGCACTGAGGGGCTAAAACAAGGACTGGTCGGCTCGGAGTCAGTATACTGTTGTTACCCATGGGCCTCGTGCTCGGTATTAGGGGATAAGACAAGGCCTGTTTGGCTCCGTTCCAGTATTAAATGTGTCTGAGTTGGGTATTCTTGTTAAATTTCAGCATGGTATCGCAGTGTGCTTGCACAATATAACTGGCATTAGTCTGAACTAGTATAAGCATGCATACCCACACACAAGTGCATGCATGTCACTATATAAGTGCATTCATCTTGATGGGACATTAAACCTCATTTCACCTCACCCTAACACTGTCTTGACAAATCATGTGTGTTTGCGCTTCTGCTCCAGCATGGCACTATATTGTTGAGGCTTATATGGTAAGTGTTCATGTAAACAAGAATCTCCATGACATCAGGGGCCTGTTTGAGAGACTTGTGTAATCAATGAATACTATTTGCCTGTTATCGATGACATCTGGGCCAGTAAGTCTCTTGTTGAACTAGTGTTTATATATGGTCATGTTGTTAAACAGCTAGCATTAACTCTTAGAGATGTAGCTGTCTTCATGGGCTAAGGAAATAAAGGTGTGGTTTTGCGTTGCAGATGTAGGGATTGTTGAGGGAGGGTCTGTAAAGCCTAATTAAAATGGTAAAAAGCTAGGCACCACCCCTCTTTATATTCATATACCCCAAACTTATGTTTGGAAAATACCTGCATTTTGATAAAGGGTTACCATGGATACCTGCTGAAACGGTGCAATAGCTGCGATAAAAAACTAACAGTTGAAGTCCACTAGACCTTATAATGATAAAACAGGAAAAAAACACCTGAAACTGGCAAATTTCTACTAGTCCGTATGATACCTTAAATATTGGTCAGGTTGGCAAGGACTAAGACTGATATTCCACATTCATGACTGTCTCCAATGCCTATTCGTGTCATACCGAAATATGTTAAAAGATGGTACTTTCTGTTACCCTGCATGCATACGCACACGCACACGCCCACGCACACGCACACGCACACGCACACACACAGACACAGACACACACACACACACACACACACACACACACACACACACACACACACACACACACACTAGCAATAGCACTGGATGTTTCTGCAGATGGTTACAGGGAATGGGTAATTTCAGTTGGATTTATCTGGGCCTGCTTAGAGACTGATATTCCACCCCAATTCTGGAGCAACTGTCTGTAAAAATTCCCAAATTGGAATAGAAAATAGTGTAAAAGAAAGTATGCTCTCATGTTTGATGGTGGCTAAAGGTGAAACAAAAAAGTTTTAATTCAATGGTGATGTATTTGATACGGGTGTCAAGGCGATATTTAATGCATCATATCAATGAGTATCTGAGAACAGGTGTCAACCTTGTACCATTTTGATAACATGGTAATATTTTGGTCCAATCCAATTTTCAAGACTTAGTGTATATCTTTCTTTTGCCTGTCAGTATAATTACAACTAATAGGATGGCTTTGTAGGGTGTCCTCCCAAAACGCCTACAGGGGTAACTGTATATCCCATGATAACAGGACCAATCAAGAGAAAGAGCCTGCAATGCAAATTTTACATTATTGCAATGTTAAAATTTTCAGAATTAGGAAATTAAGTACTTGCCATTGCCTGCCATTGGCACTTTGTTCAGAATCCTAGATAAATCCGTGATCAGTTATTCAAGTTTGGATCCAACATTTCAAAATGAGTGTCTCTTTGTACAGATAATTAAATATGTTAAGTCAGATCATTAATACAGGATTTTTTATGATGTCTATTTTCTATGGAAATGTTTATGAAGCTGTGCTCAGCATTGTTCCACTGTATTAATTGAAAAGGTTTTGTGAACCAGTTTTGTTCCTTATCAGTGCAACATTCACAAGGAAGTTTGAGTGGCATTGAATTATGAAAGTGAAAGTACCAATACCCCCGTATTCAACGTAATAAGCGTCCAGGGCGCTCTCAAAATTAGGAATAGGGGGCTCTTATTAGAATATTATTTTGGAGAAAAAAACAGAGTTGAACTATAAATTCCGTGGTTTATGCTGACAGTCTGAAATGTTTATGTACGACAGATATATTTTTCCAGAATTTAATTGCCCATAATTAAGGGTGCATATGACACATGAGTGCGTATTCTACGCGAATAAATAAGTCTTGTGTACATTGATCAATTGGAAGGGATGCTAATTGGGATTGTTCACTAGCCAATATATAGCAAATGTTGCCGTTGGTGCTTATTAGAGCAGGGCGCTTATTACGTCGAATATGGTATTTGAAATTGCTTGTTTCCACTGCGATACTGAGGAAGTAGAACTGGGGATTGTGTTGTTGCATGATTTCCTAAAGTGCTGACAGGCAATATTATCAGATGCTAGAAATCTCTTAAATATTGAATATTTAATTGGCTTTGGGGAGGACAACATAAGTGTTACAGATGTGAGAAATGAAGAGAAGACTTGATCATGTTGACCAAAAAAATTATTAATAGTTTCAATTATTGGTTTCCATATGGACATTGATGTTCACAAATCTTGAATTTTGACAAAAATAGGAATGTGTGAATTTCCTAGAAAGGGAGTAAACATTGATTCACACTGAAGACGGCCATATGCATGTCAGTAAATCTGTCTGATCAGACGGACCCGTGTCTGCATAGACCCGTCAAAATCCGTGGTAGAATAGGTCTTACCCATGTTTGCCGTAAATATTGCTGAGTGAGGCGCTAAACAACAAACAAAACAGACAATGACACACAATCAACCACTGTTGACCATTCACTACTCATTCTAGTCGACCTGTGAAGATGCAGGGTAGAATAGATCTTCAGCAACCCATGCTTGCCGTAAAAGGCGTAAGAGGTGACTAACGGGATCGGGTGGTCAGGTTGATGACTTGGCTGATGCATGTCATCGATCCGAATTGCGTGGATCGATGCTTATGATGTCAGTCATTGGATTGTCTGGTCCAGACTCGATTATTTAAAGACCGCCGTCATATAGCTGGAATATTGTTGAGTGTGACGTAAAACATCAAGCAAACAAACAAACAAATATTGCTAAAAGCGGCGTAAAACCAAACTCACTCACTCACTCACTCACTCACTCATCTTCTATGGTGTCTCAGTTTGCTTTTGTTTGTTGTTTAGCAATACTCAGCAATATTCTAGCCTTGTGACAGCGGTCTGTAAATAATTTGAGTCTGGACCAGACAATCCAGTGATTGACATCATGAGCATTGATCTACACAATTGGGATACGATGACATGCATTAACCAAGTCAGCAAGCCTGACCACCCGATTCTGTTAGTCGCCTCTTACGACAAGCATGGGTTGCTGATAGGGCTGGGACGAGTCCAAATTTACTACCCGGGTACCCACCACCCTATTACCAAACCCTACCAGGTACCGTAGATATTTAGAGATAGGTACAAACTGTCTGATTTGGAAATGTTTGACCGTAGCCCTGGCAAAATGTATTTAGATAAAATGATTCGGTCATACATACACTGAAGTTTATGCATAAAGTTTTATCTTTATTCAAACATATACAATCAGAAGGAATGGGTGCGTTGTCGGAAAGAAATGGAAACATTAGTGACTTATAGTGTAACCACAGAGTTTTAAATTATTTTTGTCATTAAACAATATATCATGTGACTAACTATGGGTCTGGGTAGTCCTGTGGGTACCCGGATCCTGCTCAGGACCCACCCGACCCGAGTACCCGAGTTACCAAACCTGGATCGTCACAGAGGCAGTGTAATCTTGACTCAAGTGGAGGATTAGTGCTCACAATATCAGTCACTAGTTTTCCTAGTCCGGAGTGGGCCGTATATTGGTTGCTTTGATTAACCTGCTTGGTATAGCATGATACAAATTACGCTCAGACATGCTACGTGTATTTTGAGGGCTTAAGCTAAGAAGTTCTGAGATCCGTGTGCTTACTTTGAACATTTCACTATACTATTGGCCACTTTGCAAATATTATTCTTGGACAAGTATCAAATGTTCAGGAAGAACTTAAGTCTGTGAAAGTGACACTTGCATTAGCTTTTATACATTTACACATATTTATAATGTTGTAATATGGAACATTGTGTTCTTTCCTTGTATCCATACAGTACAGATGTACTGGTCAGTATGTGAAGATATAAGAATCGAATACCTGCCTAACTATTATTAAATTTGTACAGTTGATGAACAGCAAAAATAGCCACATTCTTCTTAGACTTAGAGTTTTTGTTTATAAGATATTTGAAAGAAGGATGATACATTAAATATTAATAAAACTGTGTACATCTATTCAGCTATACTATACAAGTGGTGCTCCAGGATGAATTTTCCTTCAACAAAATGTCATTGTACTATTGGCCTCATGGCCACATACCGTATTCGACGTAATAAGCGCCCACGGCGATATTTGCTAATATATTTGCAAGTGAACAATCCCAATCAGCACCCCTTCCGATTGATCAATGTACACAAGACTTATTTATTCGCGTATAATACGCACTCTTGTGTTATATCACCCTTAATTATGGGCAATTAAATTCTTGAAAAATATATCTGTCGTATGTAAACATTTCAGGCTGTTAGCATAAACCACGAAATTTACGATCTTTCAACTCAAAATAATATTCTCATAAGCGCCCCCTATTTCTAATTTTGAGAGCGCCCTGGGCGCTTATTACGTTGAATACGGTATATGAAATAAAATAAATCTATCTTATTATTGTCAGTAGCATTGCACAAAGCTTTGACCACGACTTGTGTCAGGTATCAATAAAAGTATTCAAGTCAACCTCAAGTTATTGCTCAGGATCTTTTTTTACCAGCCTTCTGGTGTCTAAGTATGACTTTTTGTATTCAGGTTCTTTAACTTTGGAAGTCGTAAAAAGACTCTGACTCCAAGTCCTCAGCCAAAGAGACGAAGCAGTGCTGGTAGTGACTTCGCAGACGGAGCAGGCTCAGTGGCCCAGCACTCCTACAGCACCGGAAACCTCCGGGAGTTGGATGATAAGGCTGTCGTAATGAGGTGAGATACTGTTTCTTATTTAACTTGTTGTTATCGCTACACTTAGCAGTATTTAAAGCTGTGATGGCAGTCTGAAAATAATCGAGTCTAGACCAGACAATCCAGTTGTTGACATCATGAGCATCAATCCACACATATGGGATACGATGACATGCATCAACCAAGTCAGTGAGCCTGACCACCCAATCCCGTTAGTCGCCTTTTACGGCAAACATGGGCTTGCTGAAGACCTATTCTACCCTGGATCTTCACGGGTCCAAATGACAATGACTGCCCAACTGACGATTGACTCATGTCACAATTGAGACAGCGATGACATCATACCCATTCTTTTGACAATAGTATGTATTTGTGTGTAATTTGCACTGTTGGTAATTGAAATTCACTGTTCAGATCCGTATTACGTTTCATGTAAATATCGTCCAGTAGGTGAGGTTTCTGGCTATCTGAGGTCTGGATCAGCATGGTTCTACTATATTATTTGCCATAGTTGCCAGTTTGTGCAGTGAATCTAGACTATATGAGTCTGTGGAATATGTCCATGAAAACTTACATTCTTGCATTGATGTCTTGATTAAGATTTTTTCAATATAAATTGAGAGGAAGTCTTTTGTGGTTTTTGCACTTCCTCGCCACTCAGGTTTTGTATAATTAATAGAAGGTGAGTTTCTTGCCTCAGTTAATGTAGAAATGCATGTCATGAATGTTCAGTGAAGTCATGGCTCAGAATCAGTTGCAATAGCGTGACGTCATCAAAAGAGTCTCAAAAGTGAAAAACAATAAAATTCTATAGACAGTCGTGAATAGATTGAGCAAAATCATGAATTGATACAAAGATTATCACAAATGGCAGCCTGTGCAAAAACAAATCAATGTTTGACTTAAGTTACGAAACATTTTAACAAGTGAAACTGATGCAACTATAGAAAATATGTATCAACCATAATATGGTATAGGTCAGAGAAATCACTCAAATGTGATGGTCCCCAAAATGTATTCCCCGTACCCCAAAAGAGGCTCATAGATTCTACTTCTGGAAACAACAGATTCTCCATTACATGATGGAATGATTTATCCATTACCCATTCCTTTTGCAGGAGAGAACAGAATTCTTCAGATTCCAGTCTTTCAAGGTGGTAAGTGCAATTAAGTAGATTGAGTTTGGCATTGGCATGACATTGTCAGAACACTTCAGGAATGCATTTATATTGTATTAATTATGTATTGATCACATATTTTATGTTTGAAAAGCATGAATGTATGCATGGTCGATAAATAATGCATCTTCACACCTCTGTCTTGCTTAATTGTATGCAGTGTTTGAAATTAATGCTGAAAGTCAGGGTCCTTGTCATCTTCTCGAGGCAAGGGCGTCCACTAGCCTTTTGATCAAAGTCTTGTTTCCACCATTGCCACATTAAGCCTGTGCTAAATATGATTGGTGAGTGAGTGGTATTTACGCCGCTTTTAGCAATATTCCAGCAATATCACGGTGGGGGATAGCAGAAATGGGCTTCACATATTGTACACATGTTGGGAATCGAACCCGGGTCTTCAGCGTGACAAGCGAACACTTTAACCACTAGGCTACACGACCGCCCCTAAATATGATTGGATTATCGCACATATCGATGGTCCAATCAGAGAACGTTTCACAAAATCAACATCCACAACTGGTACACCTTCGTATGAAAGTGATATACAGCTGCCTGTCTTTGTTGACACGAGTATGTCTGTTTCATCTTTTAAACCCCCCAACGATTGCCTGTGCTTTTGTGTCAGGGATGAAATCGCGAATGTTTTCTTTTTCTGATTGAAAAGGTCGTCGCCTATGGTAGTAGCCATCTTTGTGAAGCTATACGAGATAAGAACATCGATCTGATTGGATATCTCGTTTTAATTACAAGGGGCACAACTTGTGATTTATGCAAGGTGGCACCAGGGTCAAACCGAGGAAAGTGGCCTTGATGTGGCAAGGGTAGAAACTAGGCTTTGATATAGGCTAGTGGACACACTTGCCTCGGGAAGATGGCTTGATGTGGCAAGGGTAGAAACCAGGCTTTGATATAGGCTAGTGGACACACATGCCTCGAGAGAATGAACCCTAGGTTAAAAGTTAAAACTGAATGATTCCCCTGATGGATGTATACAACTCAAAAGAACTTAAGGACTAGCCAATTCTTTCATTTTACTATTAGGTCTTTGAAAGGCATTTAGAAGTGATACACATAAGGAAGAGAATATATGGATGTCAACTTCTTTATTAGGAGGAACACAACGTTTCGGAGTATATACTTACTCCTTCATCAGGTGCATGAAGGTGTAAGCATATACTCCGGAACCTTGTGTTCCTCATTATAAAGAAGTTGACATTTCACCCGATGAAGGTGTAAGCATATACTCCGGAACCTTGTGTTCCTCATTATAAAGAAGTTGACATTTCACCCGATGAAGGTGTAAGCATATACTCCGGAACCTTGTGTTCCTCATTATAAAGAAGTTGACATTTCACCCGATGAAGGTGTAAGCATATACTCCGGAACCTTGTGTTCCTCATTATAAAGAAGTTGACATTTCACCCGATGAAGGAGTAAGCATATACTCCGGAACCTTGTGTTCCTCATTATAAAGAAGTTGACATCCATATATTCTCTTCCTCATTTTACTATTGTTAATCTGTAATGGCATGACGCATTATCTGTAGTAATATGAAAGAATCGTGTGGTCCTTAACTTCTTTTGAGTAGTATACCATGTCAGTAACTGAAAGGACTCCATTATTTCTAACACTGGTATGCATGTAGTTTCAATTTTACCCCATCAAACTATTTCTTATAAATACACACCTTTAAGCTAGTTTTCATTATCACACCAACTTTTTAGAAATACATATTTACCTAGATCACTAGCAAATTTTGATAGAATTATTTGTTCTCTTATGTTGCTCATCACTGAATATGATTAAAGAAAGCTTGCCCCTGTACTGCTCATTGGTTTGTCCCAGCATGCTGTTTCTTTGGTTTCTTGATTGGTTGACATAATTGTGATGTTTTAGGTATATTTCCAGTGAGACGTCCCCGACAAGGAAGTCCGAAATAGGTTTGTTGGACAGCCCACGACGGAGCAAGCAGTTGGAAGTGCCAAAACACCTCTCTCTTCACATGAGCGGCGAGAGATCGAGGGGGGAGCCCTCATCCTGTCTGGCGATTACCGTCCCTAGCAAGACAAACATTGTGGCCCCGTGGGAGGGCCCGCAATAGACACATGTAGCCCTGCTGTGTCGACCCTTGCAGTCAAAGCATTCAGCATGTCAAGGTCAAGGTCAAGGTTATTAGCAGATCTGTATACGTCATAACTATTTCAGAAAAAACATCTTTATTGAAAGATTTCTGATGCTATATCTTATTATTACTAGGATCCTAGACATAATATGTGACTAGATTGTGGTTGAATGTATGTCTCCTAGAAGACAGGTATCTTGTCTTGTGATGTAAGGGACTATCACCAATACATGTTCAAAGGATGAAAATGAGATGGTGGTTAAGGCTTTTGTCAAAAGATGTTAGCAGGCAGGTGAGCTGTTTCTGGGCAGGAGGCAGTAGGAATGTTCGAAGACCAACTGTTAATTATCAGTATGGGCAATGGCTGGAATATGCTTAAAAGTTGAAGATACTTGTGTAATTTAAGGGAGTTATTTGTTGCTGTTTTGCTGAGTGCGTAGTGAGGTGGTGTTCCAGGGTCTGTGCTTGCACAGAGGTTTTGTAGCACTAATAAAGCTGTTAAAGTACAGTAGCTGTAGCCCTACAAACATTTTAGGGATGTGTCCCTGGATGGTTTGGACGTAGATACATACGGAAATTAATTGACAGGATTTCAAGGTTGAATGATGCTCATAAAGGCAAGATAACAGTATTGAATCTTTTGAAATAGTCAGATAACCATTTCGATATATATTGGCAAAGAAGGAATGTCTTGTGAAACATTACCAATTTCATAGGTACGATGACTTTTATGAAATATGCATTTGGATCAGGCCACATGGTGACTTCAAATGTAAGTTTGTTTCTGTTTTATATCAGCATGAGGGCTGTGAAGTTTCAGGAGTGTTAATTAAACAATGTGACATATTTTTTTTTCAACTTGAATTTATTTCCTTCATGTCACTTTCCATCTGCTATCATGCGTTACACAGATGGGTGACTGAGACACCGCTGCTGCTCTGACTGAAAGGGTTAAAGCTAGTTCCTCTAGCTCCACAAGGGTTAGAATGGTGATAACATCTTCCCCAGGCAAGGGAGTTTACTGACTTTGAAAGTCCACTTTCCACCCTTGACGAACTAGGCTTGAATTCCTTGGCTCGATCGTAGCGCTACCAGTGGTTATTATGTCTCTTTTAAGCCTCTTCTATGGACCAATCAGATTCTACCTCTCGTATCACTTGCATTGGTTTCAAACAAAACAGCGGCGCCCAGTCAAGACGTTCTGATTGATAATCAAGATCTATATTGTGATAAAACGGGTCTTACATCGCGAAGTGCATCAAATCAAGTGAGCGCCTTGATTAAAAACATGAAAAGACTTGGAAATTATCTGTTGTCAATGAGTTGGCGGTGCACAAGCTTTGCAAATCCTGCAATTGACTGAATTCTGCACGACAGTTTACTAACCGGATTTCGATTTCGGTGTGCGATTTTGATTGGACTATGCATAGACTCGTAAGTTTAGCCAAATTGTAACTCCATAATTCCTGCCTAGTTCGGCAAGGGTGGAAACTGGACTTTTATAGTCAGTTAACTCCCTTGCCTTGGGAAGATGAGTGATAAGGACGATACCAGTGTGTTCGATACATTATGAAACGAGTAGAAGTAGTCGACTCATCAATAAATTTGTTAATGCAAAATATTGTCTTTCAGACTATGTCCATGTTAATATCATTGAAGACGATGTGCAATTGCTATTTTGTACACTGAAATATTTCCATTTTGTAAACTTGCCCGCAAGTGATATTATCTTAAATTGAATCCATTTAACTAAATTCCTTCAGGCGTGTATCCCTGCCCTATTTTGTCAAATCAAGAATTCTCACAACTGATACATGACCTACTGATGAATCTGACCATAGCGAGAGCTTGTTTAGTAGCGATTGTTATTGTTATTATGTATTAATTATCACCATTATATCAATTTTTGCATATTATACTTGTACATAATCACTGACTAGAGCATATTCTTTGTCTAAGCATTCCTGTTTCTGCGTGCAGAATTCCAATATTTCTTTGAGGAATGGGGGATTGTATGAGTACAATCTGTTGTTGGCTTAGTCTGCTTCTGTTAACGTTGATCATGAAAGGGACTGCTTGGCCCCGAGTTTAACCAGGACGAGTATGGTTGTCACCAGTTGTCATTACAGTAGCATATCAAGAGTAGTAGCCAGCTGTGGACATTCACGTCATTTTCTGCATTTGTGCAATAGGTTTTAGAAAAGTATTTTTTTATCTTTATTCTAGTATAGCAATTTAGGGTGTGAATGAGATTATTTGTTCTATAGACATATCTTAGTGCCCTGTATTAGTTTTTAACTTTTGAGGATCATTTTTGAATGATGATATTTTCCCAACCAGCAAAAGGTTGAATCAGTTTATATTATGCTACTGTTTTGAACTTGCCCCCTCCAACCCACGACATATGTATTAGGGGAAGAAACAATCACGAAGTAAGAGTTATGTCAAATGAGGAAATCTGCTTCGGATAGTGAGTATTGTTTTACGCCTCTTTTAGCAATATTCCAGCAATATCATGGCGTGGACACCAGAAATGGGCTTTAAACATTGTACCCATGTGGGGAATCGAACCTCCGCCTTCGGCGTGACAAGCAAACGCTTTAACCACAAGGCTACCCCACTCTGCTTCTATTACCTGTCCTACCAATATCAGTGTGAAAATTCACATGGTAAAAAGTGCTTATCTTTTGTTCTATTTGTTATTCTAAAATTGTTATTATTTGAATTATCTTTTTAAAAACGAAACACAATAATAAAATATATTGCTCTATAAACTTGATGAGGGAGATAATCCGAGGTGGATGACTATATGATGGTGACCAAGAGAACCAGATGTTCAGTTACTGTGGAGCTTTTCTGAAATGCCGGACAAGTAATATTTTAGACAAATCCGACATTGGTGTATACTAGGGGTGACTATTGGTCTGGAAATCACTATTGCGATAACTAGTGATATTGAAAGAAACTATTGCGATAACTATTGATATTGCAAGCGACTATTGCAATAAATATCGATAGTTTTCAGTGTATCATTTTAGATGGATTTTAGAGTTGAATTAAATCTTGGAACTGAAGTTTCCTTTGAATGTGATAGCCATAACAACAAATAAAAAGTAAAGTTTGAGATATGACTGATTTGTTTTTTCTTTACCCTAATAATTTAAGAAAAAGAAACTTCATGTGTAAATTACTACCACTCATGATCAAAAGAAAAACAAATTTGTAATGCATTGCATGTATTTTATTGATAATACAATCGAAACTATCAATATTCCTAACTGAAATCGATACTATTGATCGAAAACTGATTTAACAATCGATTGATTGACTTTAAGTGCTTCCTAATAGCAATATATCGATATTTCTATTTATCGTGACACCCCTAGTATACATCTAGTGTATATCTGTCACTATAGTGTTGAACCTTGTTAATGATTTAATTCCACCTTAGCAGATATAAACCCTACAACTGGTAAGATAAAAGGTACTCGAAAGACACATGTGTAATAACCTTTACAGACTTGTGAAAAATATTCAGTGTCCGAGTCTTTATTTTGCGATGAGTAATAAGTACCGTTGTGCAAAACTTTAAAACAGGAAATCTTAAAATCTATCTTCTTAAAACATATGCCATGTAGTCATATAACCACCATTGATATTCTGTACATCATGTGTAAAAAAAAAAAGCATAATAATTCATCGTAATATTTCTTATGAACATATCAGGTGCTCGTTTTCCGTTACTTTGAGAGCAGGAGGAAATTACAGAAAATATTTGCACACTCGTTTCGGTTAATACAGGGTATTCCAGGAACTGAATGCATGAACTATTTATGAAAGTATGTACTCAAAGAACAAGGAACATTCCTTAGATGATGGCATTCGATTCCATATCTTCAAATAATATTGTTACTGTTCTTGTAACATATCAACACTAGCTCATATCTAGTGCTCAAATAATCAAATATGTTGAATCTCAGATGTTGAATAATATATTTCATGTTATTGGTAGAAAGAACAAACTTGTTATCAGATAGATCTCTTTGACTATTGTACCTACTAACTATTAGCATTTGTCACAAATAAAAAGTGGTTTTTTAATTTTTTTCCTTGAAAACATGAGAAAGCAATAAATGTCGGTAATCATATCAAAATGTCTCAATTTTACTGTTGATTCATTAAACTATTGATGTACAATGCTATAGAACTCGTTTAAAAAATGCTGTAAAGATAGTTCATTATTAAAAAATATGCTAGGAGATGCATGCTCAATTATGAATATGTTTGAATTTGAATAAAATCAGATATATGTTATGATAGTTGATAATCAAAAACTGACATGACATATCTTGATGGATAGAAGATCAGGGGGAGGCTACTCTAGCGAGGTCTCAATACAACCAACGAAACTAGCAGACACCTGTGACAGTTATTTGTAGCTTCCTAACAAGAGCAACTGACTAACCATAGGGTGAGACTGGTGTTTTATAAACACATGCTTATGATATACTCGGAATCGTAAAATGGACCCTGCTTTTAGCAGTGATTTCTTATTATTATGGAAATGGTTTTGTCCCTTTTATTTATGTTTATATTCAGATTTAAGTTTGGAAGGCAAGGGGTACTTTTCATAATGTATATTGATTGAGGGGTTCTTGGATTTTAACACTGTAGAAGTAAATGTCAATGTAACCTCCCATTCTCACACTGTTACAGCTTGAGATGATCCATGTTAGACTGTCTGTTAACATTTCATTCATAGATAGTATAGTTATTCATAGATACATGTGTTCAATTCATTATCCATTGACAGAAGTTGAAATACGCATTTAAAGATCAAGTGTAAACTTTGATAAATAATCCAATGAAGGATTTTTGCTGTCTAAAAATAAATGTTAAGAACGCCATTGAAAGGTCTGAATTTATAACCATTAATAGACGATGGAATTATCCATTAAAATAGGTAGACTGACCATTGATAAATGTTGAACATCTCTAAAAGATCATGTGTATACTGTGATAAATAATACAAGGAAAATCGTTGCTACCTGGCAATACATGTTATGAACATCACTGAAATATGTTGAAAATATAAAAAATCTTAAAACTATCTATATACATGTTGATCTCTTTAAAGACCTGGACCAGTTCTTGAATAGTCTTAAAACATTCATTATTCATAGCTTTTGCATGTCGCCTTGATAGATGTTAGGACTATCAATTCATGTTCTGTCTATATTCCCATGTCTCCTATATTCCTGTGATCGTAATGCTAATGTTACTCAGATGATAGATCCCTTGTTTAGGCCACGGTCACCTGGCCCTGCAATTGTACAGAATTTGAAGTATTGACATGTACAACTAGAAGCTTTATGACTGGTTCCTAGGTTGTTAGTACTGAGTGCCAAAATATCCACGTTTTCTGTTTTAGACCTGTGCAATATCAAGATTGCATGGGTGTCTATGTCAGCCTGACTACATCGTTATTTGTTGAAACATCCTTGTTATTCCTGTGAATGAATTACTGTTACATTTTCATATGTGTTTGTAGTGGTATTTCCATTTTCAGTTAAACATTCAATGTCATATTTGTTAGATTTGATACATATACCACTAAAAATATGTTAAGGATCACCTGATTCTTTCCTATTTCTATAGTTACAGATTAACTATTATATGCAATAATCAAGTGATCCTTAATTCTTGTTGAGTAGTATATTAATTAGTTGGTAGATGTTGATAAATCAGCCCAATAATGTTGCTTATAGTTTATCATGTATTTCTTTGAGTAGGAAATTAGTTATCGGTACAAACTCAAAACGATTCCTCAGAATGTCAAGAATAAATACGACTCTGAAGATCTGAATAAAAATGTCCCTCTGTATTTTGAAATCTGAACTACCTTCCTCTAGGCAGGTGGTTCATGTTAGTTTCATGGTTTCATACTAGGATGTATACAATAGAAAAGCTTTACATTGATAAAGATGTATATTTATTCTGTATTATTGTGTGGTGATATTCAATAATGATCATTTGATGATAATCACTATATATGTCAGTTCACTTTTAGAATCAGTTGACTTCAGTGTGTAAGAATTGATAGAATTAACTTACTAAGACA